GGTGGGAATGTCGCTTGCTTTGTTGTCCTCATGCCCGGGTTGTCTCCAGGTTCTTGTTCTGCAGCTGGTACTGGATAATTCCCACCAAGGTCTTTCTCTGTGGTTCTCTCCACCGGGGAGTTTCTAGCAGGGCCCGAGGGATCCGTGCCGGCTCCCAGGAGAGTCCGTGGAGATGGAAGTGGGAATGTGATGCTTGCTGTTATTATCTCACTGAAGAAATTTAAGTTTTCTGAGACTACAGTAATTTTCATGTTATTGTCATTAGAGACTTTTGGTTCTGTAATTTTTGTTATTGTTCCCTTGTTATTTACCATTTGCTTTGTAAAATTTTTGCTTTCAAATCATATTATCTTTTTATATGAATAAAGATGTGTTTTTGATTCTAGATATAGTCTTGTTACCATAATTGTAAACAGCATGACTTTCTGCAAACATTGTGTATATCAAGCCTAATTTCATGGTTGTAGGTCCCCAGTGTGATCTTAGAGATTCTGCTTTTTGGATATATCTTTTAAAATTACATTATTGATTTATTTTAAAAAAATTACTTTTGATTTCTTCCTTTTCTATATACTTTAAAATAAGCTCTACTTAAAGACAAAGTTTATTCTAGTTACACATTAAAACACAAGAAATTTCAAATAATCTGTGGAATGGGAAATTTGAAATGTGTTTGCTTCTAAAGCTGCTAAGATCAAACTTCTCATTCCATCAATCTGAGAGGAGAGAGCTGAATTTAGTGAGTCTGCAATTTTTCCATTAACTAGGAATTATATGAAGCTAGCGATTGTCAAAAGGTGGAATGTGATTAACTCCTAAAATGAGAAAACCCAGCTTCCTTTGGCTGAAACACAGTTTATAATCTCTTCATAACAGTACTATGGTGGTCAAGGCCACCTCTTTTGTGATTCTCATAGTGTGCCTCATGTTCTAATGGCCTCTTAGTCCAATATGTCTGCTATGGCTCCAGACATCTTCCTTTCAAAGCAGGAAAGGGAGGACAAGGAGGGCGAGGAAGCAATCACATATACATCTTTGTTCAGGAAAACAACCGTTGTCTCTCAATCTAGACACTCAGTGGGATAAAGAAAGGCTTTCTCTCAAACCCCATAAAACTTGCACTTAAATGGCATTGACTAGACTTGTATAGCACAGAGTAGGAGAAATGTCTGTCTCACACCACATTGGTTCACTCCTTGACCTCAGTGTGTCTGTGACAGAGTCTGTCAGTCCTATAATGGCCCATCTTGTGTGGTGTTTCTCTGCTTCTTGACTCACGGATGTCTCAAGCCATAGAAGATTAGTCTCTGGAGTCAGCATGAGTGTGGGGATGTTAACTGCAGTGGAAAACCTTCAGCCAGTGGAGAAGTGGAGGTGAACAGACTTGTTTGTCCCACAAGGAGGAATCCTGAGGGAATTCTGCAGGGTTCACGGCAGCTCCTGTATGACTGAGTTCAATGTCGTGAGGGGTTCAATGTCCTGGCTAAGAATTTCACTCACCCTGAATTTTCTCTATGTATGTTTCATTCCTCTTGCTACTGCTCTCTGCTTTGGGATTACTACTTTCAAAATAATTTGATGCTAGGGAGGCAGATCTTTCTCAAATGGGAAGAGGAGCAAGAGATGGGGGAGGGAAAGGGAGGAGAGAGAAAGTAGATGAAAAAAGGAATGAAGATGTGCTATATACATGGATCTATTCCACACAAGGAATGTGAATGTTATGGACTGCAAGAAGATACTAAGAAAAAAGTCTGATACTGTACAATCAGTGTCACTTCAGACATCAGCTTGAAGTTCAGTAGTCCCAATAGTGACACTTCTTTTAGAGTAACTGCTTACAAATTTGGGCTCTCCGTAGTCACCCTCAGGTTTCATGATTCACCATAGTATGTCACAAAAGTCTACTGTAGCATCTATGTATTGAAACCATTCTTTCTATTGTCCACAGGATTACACAGAAATGACAAGGTGGGAGATTGCGGTAGAGGAAAACTGTTCAGGTCACGGAGAGCAGGAGGCAGAGACAGAGAAAGAGCCAGGGAGGGAGGCACAACTTCCCCTGTCTTCTGCCTGGTGCTCTGCTGCCAATAGCACACTGGACTGCTGATCTCACCAGTAGGCAATGCCATAAGCCAGTCACCTTCCACAGAGCTGGGTTGAGTGTACATGGGCTTTTGAGGGACAGTCTCGCTCTAAACCATAACATTTGAGATCCTAGGGTTGAAGCTATAAATAATCAGTTTTGTTGTCTTATCCATGCCCCAAGGAAGCTTGCTTCTCCCCTGTTCTCTGCTATCTCAGGTTGCATTGAGAAACTTGTAGTGTGGATCCCAGAAGAAAGTGCTCTCCAAAATCTAACCATGCTGCCCCACTACCTATACCTCCAAAACAGCGAGAAACAAGTTTCCATAGTTCACAAGCCATTCAGTAATGTGTTATAGTAGCCAAGACAAAGGTAGAAATGGACACTAAGTTTGCAGTGCAGCTATACTAAATACCTAAAACTGTGGAAGCAATTTATGATCTGGGTAGTGGAGAGAGATCAGAAGACTCGGGGTACATGCTAGAAAAAACATAGACTTTTGTGATCATATGTTTACAAGTGATTCACAGGAGAGTTTATAAAGAAAAGAGATTCATCGGCATAGTGTCCATCTTCTTAGACAGTACCTAAGCTCCCAGGAATAGAATTCAGGTAGGAACATGCATGGTAGTCATGCATCTTATGAAGTTGCAGATGGCAATGAAGACCATGTTATTAGATGTATGGAGTGGCTGAAGCTGGAAATCAATCATACATGTGGGGCTAAGACAAAGCCACTAGAGCACACAGGGAGCTCCTCCAGCCATGTAAACAAGCTGTTCTAGCTTACAAACAGGTTGCTATGCAGAGAGATTGAAATTGATATCAACCACCTGAGTGTATGCTCTGCAGTTCCTGGGCAGTTCCTTTTCTCCCAGCAGGACAGAAGGGCTTCACCTGACCTCAGCTTTTGTCTCTTATCTTTATGTCTTCATCCTCTTTCTGTGACTTCCTTTACCCCTCCCGGCCCCAGGGAACATCCAGAGCTGTGCTGGTTCACAGCACCTAGACCACATGGAACAGGCAGTCCTGGTTATGAAGTGGCTGTGTGTTGTTCTAGTGCTCCTGTGGTTAGTAGAGTGATGACCATGGATATTCAGTGAGGAGATCTCTAAATGAAGTGTTGAAAAGTGCTGTGTTCTATCCCAATTGCTTGTGATTAAATGTGGGAAGAACAAAATGACTTAGAATTGTTGAGCAAAGGGGAGTCAGAATTAAGGATTTGGAAAATTCTCAGCTTACCTTCACTTCAAAGCAGGGTCTTGATATGTCTGTTCTTTACATAGCATCCAAAGGAATGGCCTTTCAAATTTTACCTTATTAGAACAGATTACCTAGCTATAGAGAAATAACAGCAATTATCAAGCATAATTATCAAGAAAAGACTAAAGAAAAACCCAAAGCAAACAAAAAATTATGGGAGGTGGAGAGAGAGAGGGAGAGAGAGCGAGAACTAAACAGATTCTATTTTTAAAGATAAGACTAAATATGGTTTTTCCTTCTTGTGTGTCTATATACACTAATAATGGAGCTATCTATAGATTATGTTCTCTTTAATATAATTTTTAAATGACAAGTATTTAGAGAGTCTGGTCAAAATATAGGAAAACAATGTCAGATTTCTTTTCAGAAAATTTCCCTTTAAGAAACAAGGAATTGGGGGCTGGGAATTTAGCTCAGTGGCACAGCGCCTGCCTGGCAAGCGCAAGGTCGTGAGTTTGATTCCTGGTACTGGAAAAAACCCCAAAACCAAAATGAAAAGAAACAAGGAATTAGAAGTTCCTGTGGCAGCCTGGCCCACTCAGTGACAAAGGGCACTCATGACGCAAAGTCCAAATGAGACAGGGCTGGAGATGTGACCCAGTGGGAAGGTCCTAGGGGCTGAAGACAGAGCTCTGCTGTAAAACTCTTGTCCTGCATGTGCGAAACCCTGGCTTCAATTCTTAACATGCAAATCCAGACACAATAAAAGAAGTTCATTTATTTGAACATTTGATATGTTTCTTTGAACATCTTTCAGATGTTATAGATAATTAAGGAATGCATTTGTGTGTTGCAAGCATCTGTTTCATACTCTGAAGTTGAGGAATAAGAGAGCCCAGCTGGGTTTCTGGTTGACCCATGAGGATACAGAAATCATGTTGAGAAGCACTTAGTTCCCATGAGTCTTACGGCTGCTATCACATCTTGGTTTCTCAGGCTGTAGATGAGAGGGTTTAACAAGGGAATCATAATTCCATAAAACAAAGAAGCCACTTTTTCCTGCTCTTGGGACCTATTGGTCCCATGGAATACATACATATAAGCCAGAGTACCAATAAAGATGGTGACGGCTGTCAGGTGGGAGGCGCACGTGGAGAAAGCTTTTCTCCGTCCTGCGGCAGAAGACATCCTGAGGATGGTGGCCAGGATGCATATGTAGGAAAAGATGACGACCGACACAATGAGGGTTAAGTTAAACCCCACAAAGACAGTCAGGACCATGATATTGAAGTCAATCCTGGAGCACGATAGAGCGAGAATTGGAGGTATATCACAAAAAAAGTGATTAATTGCATTAGACTTGCAAAAGTCCAAGGAGAAAGTCAGACTGGTGTTCACAGAAGCATTTAGGGAGCCCATGAGGTATGAACCAAGCAGCAGCTGAATGCAGAGTCTCCGGGACATGATAACTGGGTAGTGCAGGGGTTTGCAGATGGCCACGTAGCGGTCCACAGCCATGGAAGCCAGGATGAAGCCATCACTGGTAATGAAAGTCCCATAGACTAGTAACTGCAGTATGCATCCTGTGAAGGAGATGGACTGGTTCGTGCTCACAAGGTTCTGCAGCATCTTGGGCGTGATGGCAGAGGAATAGCAGAGATCGACAAAAGCCAAGTGCTGGAGAAAGAAGTACATAGGCGTGTGAAGAGCAGGGTCGGTCTTGATGAGCAGGATCATCCCAGTGTTGCTCACCAGTGTGGCCACATAGATGATGAGGAAGGCCGTGAAGAGGACTTGCCAGGACCTGTGTTGACCAGCAAACCCGAGGAGAAGGAATCCCGTCACTGCACTGCCATTATTTTGTTCCATGCTTAGCACGAAATAAATGTCAGCTAAAAATTACAATGAAACAGTAACAGAGAAAGACCACTGTGAGCATGTAACTCCAAATTTGAAAGTGATGTAAAATGTGGTTTCATGTTGGTTCAGAGAATGTTTGCTGTGATGGGACCGGTTTGGATTTTGAAGGCTGAAACTTGATATTCAGATTAAATATTTTCACTTGTTTTGGAGCAATTAACATTAAATAGCATAGCTGTTCTTTGATACCAACTTTCATTTCATAAATGCATGTAGTACAGAAATGAATTGTACTGTTAGTCTTACTTTCTTTTGTGCTTTATGTAATTTAATTACAATACTAGTTACCCAAGTAGAATTTAACCTTAACCTACCCTGTATTTCCATGTGGTCTTGCTCTAACTTATTTCCTTCTTTTGAAGTACTCTTTCTCCCTCTTTCTCAGCTCTTCTCTATCATGGACTGAAGCTCATACAGTCTTTTATCAAACTATTGATCAAAGTATCTAAGGCAGCAGGTGATTTTCGTGTTAAGAACTTCAGTGTATTTCAGATGAAAATTTCATAACGGGCAATAAATTGTTTCCAGAATTGTCGAAGTTCTTCCTAGTTGTAAATGTGCAGCATCATTTCCTGTTCTTTGTTCCATGAACTGTAAGCATGGTGGCCAGTACTGATCATTGCTTCCTAGACCACAAGTGGTCAGTTGTGCTCTAGAAGTTGTCCATCTTTATCTGTCTTGTACCGTAGTGTCCTTATTCTTTCTAAGTACAAAATAATTTGATCATTGTCTAATATACTTGTTAGAATTTTGGTATTTTCCTAGTCAATAAAATGCCCGTTTATAGCAGGCTAATGTTTCTGCTGAGTGAATTTATAGATAGAATAAGCTTTTTGCTTATTATGTTTCTGAATTTCTCAATATGTGTTAAGTTGATCTAGGTTTCCTCACATTCTGTCCTCTACTCAGTTTGTCTGATTTCTGTTTTATGTTTTATTGCCAAAATAATGAAAACTGCAACAATAATTCATCATTTTTGCCTAATGGAGTCTCTTTCCAAAAAAAATCAATGAAATCAATTTCTTTCTCAGGCTTGTTTTCATCACAGAGTAAAGTTCTATAATAAAATTTGTTTTTCTTCTTACACTGGGTTGCTGATGCATGACGTTTGTTGAGTTAGGATGCTTTGTTCCAGAAACATAATTTGATAAATGTTATTTTGTGCCTTCAATATTTATTTTTTGAAAGCATGCTGTCTATAATTTTACAGTGGTAAATGTGGGTGTATGTTTGTACACAGGGAAAATGTTTAAATATTGTTAAAGTATTAAATATTTTTGCTTCTTGTTTTAAAATCTAGTCCCAAAGTCAGCTGACCTATTGTGTTATAGGCAATGTCTACCAAACATTTATGGTACTGCCAATTCTAGTATTACACTGTCTCATTTCAGAAATTGCAGAATGAGCATTCTTCAAGACATCTCACGTGGCCAGTATCACCTTCATACAACCAAAGTGTGAGAAAGGAAAATCAGAACTCCATTCATTCAGGAATATATAGGGAAACGTCCTAAAAATATTAATCAAGTTTAGCCTTGTAAAAAAATTTAACCTTGTATTTTGCAAGTCATTGTGGAGTTCAAAAGAGGCTTCAGCAAATAACTATTCTCTTTCTTTTTAGGATTTTATCCAGACAAGAACAAAGACTATTGATACACGAAGTTCGTAACATTGGATGCCTGGAGGAAGGCTGGGGGCTTACTGAGCGAGCTCCTCCCTGCCAAGGAGCGCCCTACACTAGCTTTCTGTCCAGGCTCAGCAGTGGTGTCAGACTCACGGTGCAGGGAGCTCTTGCAGCCAGCTGAGTCCCAAGCTTCAGCAGGAACAACGCTCCCCAGAGGGTGTTCCTCATCAGCCACACACACCGTGCCTTGCCTCGGAATGGAGGGATAATGTGGAGAGGAGAGGCTTAAGTTTGAGCAATTGAGGTCCGTGTGCAGGAAAGAAACACCAGAAGCCCAGAGCAAACATTTTCCATCAGCAGTCTATACAGGGTTACATTTATGCCTGCAATGAAAAGAACTTTTTAACACGAGAAAGTCTATTTTGCCACCTTACAATATTAAAGGAGAAAAGCCATTTGACCTTCTCAGGGAGTTAAGTTGGTAGATCTTTCATCCCATCACCATCTCTATTCAGTCCTGAGAGGCAGTGCTTATAAAAGAAGACTTAAAACCAGCACACTGTTATGATTGGATCCACTCTAAATTTTTCTGAAGTTTTTGCCAGGAAAAAAGGACATGAAAAAAAAATTACTGCGACCATAAAGGAAGGAAAGTAACTATTCTTTTTGTAATTGTCTGTGTAGAAAACTTTAGAGAATGGTTAGGTAAATTCTTAGTGAGGCTGTAAAACCACTTAATATTAACCTAATATGCAAAAGCAAGAACATTTGTTTTTACTAGAGAAAGAAAAAACTATTTAAACAAGTATCTAAAATAACGATAAATATGGAGTATGCGAATGAAAATCTGATGGAGGAAACTTTGTCTAAAGCAAGAAGACCAATGCACAGACCAGCTTATGAGTGAGAACTTAGTATTGTTAACATTGTATTTCCCCCTATGAGTTTGTAAGTTGTATGCAACTCTAAGCTAATGTTAGAGGAAATTTTACGTGTAACTTGACAACCTTATACAAAAATTTGGAGGAAAACATGGTGGGAGCAAACTTGTCCTTTCTGATATCAGAAGTGATTGTAATAATATGGTGGGACTGGCTTGGGGTTAGACTGAGCCCTCAGAAAATCAAATCTTAAATGGAATAATTCATCTGTGGAAACTTGAGGTATGAAGACACTAGCAGGTTTATAAGTGCAAAATGGTATGAAGACACTAGCAGGTTTATAAGTGCAATAAAAACTTATACATATGAGAAAATGACACTGAATTCTCACTTTATATTTTATGAAACTTGTTTACAAATGAACTGTAGATTTTAATTTTAAAGCTTTGAGAATAAAATATCACTGAATATGTATTTTCAGCTCTGTAGAATGAATTTACACAAGATATAAAAAATCAAATCCTTAAAATTGACAATTCAACTCACTGAAGAAAGAAAAAGAACATTACAAAAGAGCAAAAATTGGATACTGACTAGAAATAGAGTCAGGTAGATTTGTTATCAATACATAAAAATGTCTGAGATTTGTATTCAAAACCAACAAATTATTTATGTAACTCAATGTAATGCAAAAAAAAAAAAAATCACCAAAGAAACAAAGTGGATGATTTTAGAAGAAATAATCCCAAATGTTCAATACAAATATGAAAAGATACCCTGTTCACTAGTTATCAAGCAACTGTATATGAATACTTCATTAGAATATGATTTTATGATCATCAAGTTAAAATGCCAAGATTTGGTGAGAAACCCTTATTTTTCTGTTGGGAAGGTATAAGCATAAAAATGTTGGAGATACTTTGGAAATATTAGACTAACTTCATATATGTTTCTATGGCCCAGGGTTTCCTGATAAGGTACATATTCAAGAGAAATTAATGACTACACATAAATTGATAATCACACTTACATTTGTGCACTTGATATGTGTGTTTCAGTGTGTGTATACTATATGCACACAGACAGAAAATGTGTATAGCAGTGTTGTTTGTCATAGAAAAGAATACTCCATGTTAAATAACTAGTGAAAAATCAGTAAAGGGATGATAAGACCACTGCCTGGGTAAGTCTCTGAAACGCAAGACAGTAATAAAAAGTTGAAGTCCTCATTTGCCCCACATCAGTAACCCTGGGAAGAGCTCTGTGAAGCACCACACACAGAATGGTCAGTTTTGGATATGAAAGAGTCGCAGGTGAAGGGAAGACGGTAAAGGAAGGATGCTGCTTATAAGGGTTTCTCTGTTTGTCTTGATAAATAGTAGTGGTGTAATATTATAATGATGAAACAAGAAATTCTGTCCCAAATCAAATGCTCCAACATAACATGATGTTATAGCAGACTCTTTTCTCAAATTAAGGTGACAAGTAACACATACACAACACACACACATGCACAAAGGCACACACACAATACACCCACAGAAAGACAAACAAAGGACCTATCTCCTATGGGAGATTTAATACGAAATTCTTTGTTCCATCTACCACGAGCATGCTTGCTAATCAAATGAACACTACAAAGAGGAGGGTCGATTACCAGGGTGTGTTGATCCTACTCATCCTCTTCTGGGTCGCAGTGCTTCAGAAGCTTCTTTTAAACTTGAAATTATGTAGTAGGAAAGCAACAGACCCGCCTGGGTTTGAATTCTGGTCCCACCACTTCTGAGAGGTAAAGGACACAGCTATCTTCAGTCTCAATCTCTGCCCTTGTAAAGTGGGGATAGCAGAATCACTTAGAGAGTAATGATGTTCACTGTAGCACTGTGTGTGGGATAAAATTTTATAAATAAGGTTAACTAGGTCATAGTTTCATATTATGGATCACATCTGAGGATGAAATATGTAGTGAGTTGGAGCTTTATCTAATATTAAAAAGTTTAAAATTGACAACACATAAGTTTAAAACATGAAATAGTAATTATTCTTTTTAAAACTGCATCACATCTAGACCTTAAACACATAAAAAATGCATTTCTGGCATCTCTGTTCTTTGTACTTGGTACAATTCAATTCTGCCATTTAAAACTTGATCTATATCTATTGGCTTTGACTGAACAAATATTCCTTATTATACAAGTAAGATACACTTGGATAAATACTGTGCTTTGCTCTTGTTATTTTTATTTTACATATTCCATGTAAAACTTTGTAACTATTATGTCTGAGCATTCTATGGGAGTATGACTTCTGACAGACAACCTAAACTGTAAATGTAGGTCACCACCAACTATATATTTTAAAACGCCCTGATACCCAGAAATATGAGAATAATTAAGGTTAAGATCCACTGTTGTTGCTTCAGGGCTTGTGTAACTGACCTTCTG